CCCGAGCTTGTGGGCTGCAGGCTGCTGCCCGCAAGCCTTGTGAGCCCGCAGGAACTCCCGCCGGGCTTGCAAGGCTTGCGGATAGCTTCCTGAAGCCTGGAGAGCGAGAGGGGGCGGTGCGCACCGACCCCTCTCGCTCTCCAGGCTTCAGCAAAAGCCTGCATTCGCCCCATAGGACGCACACACATTTCCCCTTCATTTTTGGAGGGGAAAAAGTGTGTCCTATAGGGCGAAAAATACGGTAATTTGGACACTTGGAAAGCTGTCTCTCTCTCTCTCTCTCATACACATGAACACATACCTAAACATTCTCTCACACTTAATTTCTTTGCCAGCTGTAAACTCTAATAAAAACTGCCAAGACAGAAACTTCTGATATTACATAGAGAATTTTAGAAATGGCAAACCATCACGGCCACTTAGGTGCAGAAAAGTACTTCAATAAAACCTCAAATGAGATCCTTCTGAGCCAGCTAAGAAACTGCATGGGTGCATATGTTTTACAAATACACACTTTTCAAGCTTCTAAAACAGCATATAGGAAGACTGTGGGATAGCTCAGTTGGTAGAGAACGAGACTCTTAATCTCAGGGTTGTGGGTTTGAGCCCCATGTTGGGCAAAAAGATATATTCATTGCAGAGGACCATCATGGTCCCTTCCAACTCTACAATTCTGTGATTCTACATCAGTATCTGAGAGCACACTGTGCATTCTCAATTTTCCATCTCTGCTTCCAAACAGAACGTTCCCCTCAACCAAGTGGTGACGTTAGAAGGAGACAATAGTGGGACCAACTTAGCAGCTGGTGATTTTCCCCATCTGCTTACTATGGAAATTTTTTTCAGATACTTTACTCTCTCTCCAAAAATGAAGTCCATTGCATATCAATAATAGGGAAGAAAAATATTAGTCTAGTTTCTAGATTTCACACAGTTAACATGGTCTTTATTTTGCATAAAATTGCCTTAGAAGAAAGAGCCTTCCGGGTCCCAGGTGCAGAAGAGAGCAAAAGAAATTGCAGTACGCAGTTTCTTACCTTTCTACTGTTGACATGTCTCCCCCCATTAACCAAAAACACACAACCTTTGTGAGTCAGCCTATTAAATGTCTGCACTGCTGGCTGCGGAGGATCACCATAGAGGTTCTAGTCCCAGAGTTCCATCGCGAGGCAGTGCTTACACTGATCACACAAGAAAGAAGTCAATTTAATTTTAAGAAGAAGTAACAGTGATCAATCATTAGGCTTTATCACTTGTTACACAGTCTAAACTAATCAGAAGCACATGCGCGCACACACACAACTGATCTTTTTTGTTTTCTCCAACCAGACAAGTAGAACACATTCTGTCTTCACACAACTCTCACACTTGAATGAAAAAGCTAAGTGTTCTCTTAAACCTTTTTTTTTTAAAAAAGAAAGAAAGACAAGAACCCTTAATATAAGGGGCCAGCTCATAATCTTGCATCAATTGTATGACCTTCTCTTGCATAATCAATAGAGGGCCTCCTTGAGTTAGGTTTCCTCTCCTTTCAAGTAACTGAGAAAGGAGCTAGAGAGCAAAGCAGAAAAAGCAGGGAAAGAGCAGAGCACACACAGGAGAGGGAAATGTGTAGATCTACAAAACAGGAAAGACATTATAGAAAAGTAGAAAGGGGGATGGAGCGAAGACTCGGGCAACAAATTTCTTCCTTTCGGGCACAACTAATAATTTGACATTCATCCTAAGAACATAAAATATAATGCTGTGATCTAATGCTGAGTTGTAAATCTTTTTATATGCCTACTTCTACTTTATATTGGGAAAACAGGATTTTCATTACAGGAGTTCACCCCTACAGTAAATTTATCTATAGACTCATATAATAATAGTGACCAAGGAGGCTAATTCTAGGATTGACTTGGGGAAATTGCAGAAGATATTTCATCCCTTTAATATAGCAACATTAACCAAATTTGTCTGGCCTGGGAAAGGGTTTTTAATTATCTGTCTGCCCCACTATTTCATTACAGTATTATGCTTGTGAGTGTTCTGTTTATGTTTAGCATGTGCTGATGTCGCTATCTCAGAGAGATACAATTGTATGAGAAGACTAAGAGTTAAGGGGGGAAACTACACCTTTAGGAGTGCCATCAAAACCTTTTCACACAGGTGGCTTGCAAGATTATCTGCAGAAAACTGAGGGGGCATGTGGAGGGAAGAAGTACTGGAATCATTTTCCTGTTTTTTTTCTTAAGCTTCCACCCTGCTTTGCACTGCAATGCTGGCCCTATTCCTGTTGCTGTTTTTAACAGCATACAAATACCTGTGTCGAGTCACATCTCCTGTGCTTTTGTGGATCATCCAGAAAACATATGTGTGTCTATAAGGTATTTCTGATCATATTGCTAATGCTGTCTCATTCTGGGATGGCGAAGAACCTCCATCTTCATATTCTGCTCAGTCTACTTGTTCAAATGAACACAGGGAAAGCTGAGCTGTTTTTTTCTACAATCAAACGGTATATAAATTTTAGGAAGCAAATGGAATAAATGGTGATATGACTACTATGGTCAGGTTTGGTAGGTCTTTCCTAGCTTCTAAAACCATGAGTACAGGGGCCAACCATTTTGTCCAGCACCTCTTCCCACCCCCCTCAACTTTCATGCTAGCTCCACCACCTCATTCACAGGCCTATATTAAGCCAGAGGTTTCCTGTAATGTCCAAACTGGGGAGCTTAATAACTCTTAATTAACCAGGGTAAAAAGCCAAAACCTGACCCTGGTTTATTATCCTGGTTTGTTAACTTAACATTAAGCCACAGTTCTCTAGTTTAGACATAACAGGAAACTCTTGGCTTAATGCAAGTCAGTAGCAGAGCACTGAAACTGATGCCTAAGGAGAGGCAAAGCAAAGCAGGGCCACTCAGTCTCATCACTCACTTCTGGCTTCATAAACCATGTTTAGTGCTGAGAGAGATCATCTGAACCTGATCTATAAGTCAATCTCACCTGTGTTAGCCCTTCTGGTTCTGCATGCAAATCTCAAGGGGGTGTCTATTGGTTTACATTTACAAAGATCTAAACCAGGCAGGCACATATTGGCAAATCATGGCTTGGGGGTTCCTGACCTAACTGCTAAATATGGATAGGGAAGTTACCTCAAGGAGTGCCAATAGGCAAACAGCCAAAAGCATTCAGGTCTTTCCAAGCCTTCTCCAGCTGAATAAACATCAGCCAAACAAAGCCTTGCTTTAGGCTCTGTTGGTTCATGGAGGTACTAGAGATTTCTGGCACTATATCTAAGAATCATTACCATAAAGAGAGAGAGAGAAATAGATATTGAGAGCACAACAAAAGGCAGGGGGGACATTGTATAGACAAGGGCCTCTAAACTCTGAGGTGCTGAAATTTAGCGCAGACACAGCAGTTTTCCTACAGAACCTCTTCGGTAAATTTGAAATAAACTGAGGATGTGTTTATTAACTGTAGCCATTCAATCTTCTGCTGTCAACTGGTGGTGTGATATGTTAATCATGGCTAAGCTTGCCTCCCAGAAACAGGTTTTGCTTATAATGTATTTGGGGTAGGAAGGGAATCTTCTGTAAGTATCATGTGCCATGTAATGTACTGTTGTTGTTTTAAGAATTCTTTTCTCTCTTTTATTTGTTAAATAAATAGGTTTTTTAAAAGACCCTATCCTCAAGGAAACCTATATGGAACTAAAGTTTCCAAGACTGGGCTATCCTGGTCGCACAGAATAACACGGTCATGTGAATTCGTTCTTACAACCAATCAGACAGATGTTTTAAAACTGTATAAGAAGAACCCTCATGCAACTAAGGCACGGTAATAAAGTGTGTGTCTCCTTACAATACAACAACATAACAGGCGACCTAAGTAGAATTAGCATTAAATATACCTCAAAACATTTCAAGATAAATTTGGACAGTTTTGTCCCAACTGGTGCACCACACACTACCTGTTTCCTTAAATCCTGAGCCGATCGATGAAGGGTGTGGTGGTTGTTAGCATTGAGCCCTTTTGTGGAAAAGCCCATGTTTGTTGAAGAATGGTGGTTAGCAGCAGCCTGGTCTTTGCGACTCTCAGTCCTGTGTTCGCCATTTCTATCCTTTCCTGGCGTTGTGTCTTTGACTCTGTGTTTCTGAACATGTTCTCTCTCTTTCGTTGATTTGCTGGATCCGTTGAAGACTGTGAAGGGAGAAGAAACATTTGTGAGCAGAAAAAGCAGTGGAAAAGAACAAGACAAGCACAGATTCCAGTTCAGACTCCTTTTGAAAACAGTACAAAAGCAGCAGCAGTGACAAGCTGATACTTTTGGGTGATATCCAAAGTTGTAACAGGACTTCTTCCTCTCTTTCCCAATGTCATATCTGCTCTGGATGGTCCCCCAATCCTTCAGAGCAAATCGGGGGGGCTGGAGGGGAGAGGAGGAGAAGTGGAAGTATCATTATGAGAGTGGAAGTCCGTTCCGCTTGCGGATAGACACTGCACAGTTGCATAGCCCCTGCACTGCTCTGGCACAAGAAAAATAAACTTTGCAGCTGCGACATGCATGGTCTAATGCTGCCCTAACACCAGGAGGAATGGTGTGAGGGAGCTTCAGGAGAGTAGCAAAGTTAGCATTCTATCCATAACAGTAGCCTTAGCCAACATGGTCAATGGCCAGAGATGTTGGGAGCTGGTGCCCAACATCTGGAGGGCATCATATTGGCTACCTCTGACAACGCACAATCCCACAAACTGGGGAACAGGATCTGACTGGTGGGCACCAAACCCTTCTCTCCCCATCCGTCTGTGCACCAAGTTTGACAGGTGGGCAGTGGTATCAGGTGGCCCATTTTCATCCCATGTGGTGCTTTGAAATCCCAACAATCAGCTTCAAAGATCTGTTTACTGTTCTCTGCAGCCCTCGATGTACAGAAGACTAAGGCAGGGTACTATGTTACAGGTAGGTAGCCATGTTGGTCTGCCATAGTTGAAACAAAATTTAAAAATTCCTTCCAGTAGCACCTTAGAGACCAACTAAGTTGTTATTGGTACGAGCTTTCATGTGAAAGAAGTATGAGTGCACATGAAAGCTCATACCAATAACAAACTTAGTTGGTCTCTAAGGTGCTACTGGAAGGAATTTTTAAATTTTGCAGGGTACTATGGGCAGGGCTTTGCAGGCGTAACCCTCTATTTGGCCCCGTTGTGTCCCTACTTGCCCCATACCTGATGTCACAAAGCTTGGCCCGAACACCCTCACAGGACCAATGGGTGGACCATCACTACCAAGAAGCAAATAGCATACATACTCAAGGGTCGGTTACTGGTCAAGCCACCTCAACCCACAGGCCACTTTCCTTTTTCTGAGATAATGTTGATAATGGTGGTAGTGGTTATAATGTCTAGCATTTATGGGGCACTTTCAAGTGTGTGACAGACACCAAGAGAAACATTTTCTCAAACAACAGATTGCTTAATGTCCAAAGGACAGCAGAATCACAGGGGGCACAAGGGCAAGAGTATAACTCTCATGCTTTTAGTGACGCCACTTCTGGTCTGTGGACACAAACACTCATCAGGGACTTTAGCTCTACAGCTATAGGAGAACATGAAGTATCAAAGCATTTCACACTGATAAGAGGAGGAAAAGAGAAGAAGATTTGCCAAATCACCACAAACACAACTATCCTTTTCCAGTCCACACTGTTAAAACAGAGCTGGGCATGGAGGGAGGTGGAACGCCAATGGTTTCATGGCGCACTCATGAGGACACAAAGCTAGTGGCACTTGCCAGAAGCCTGCCAACCGTTTCCTACTCGACATGATGCAATGACAAGGAAGAAAGTTTTGAGTAGCAGCAATAGTTTCTACAAAGATGTCACACAGTAAGTACATGCTCATTCCACAACAGTATCTTTTTGCGGAAAGGTATGCAGGAAGTAAGATATCAAAAATGCTTTGAATGATTATGGAATGGAAAAATGCAGGGCTTTTTTTCAGCCGGAACTTGCCAGAACTCTCAGGTGGGTGCCATTGCAATTATAAGAGAACGAGGGAGGAGTCCATGGTGAGTTCCGGCACCTCTTTTTCTAGAAAAAAAAGCACTGGAAAATGTATTCCAATGTTTGTGTTTGGAATTTCTAAATATTAAAAAACAAGGCCAAAAACAAACAATTAACATTTCAGGCTCACTGTGTACGCCTTGCAGCTTCTGAGCTCTAAAGATTAAAAACAAATGAAAACACTTCAACACTGTCATTACCCTGGCCTAGGCCAACTAATGAGCTAGTCAAATACTACAAGGCAATGTCACATGGGAATTATGTTTTAAAAAACAAACCTGCCCCACCACTTTCCCAACATGGTAACCACAGCATTATCTCAGAAAACAGTTTAACCACGAAAATTATCACACCCTGCATTTGGGTCTTATTCATGTTGCAATATAGATCAGTACTGCTCCCAGGCTCCCAAACAGTGCACTTTCGGTTGAGCAATAATCATGCAACAATAATACGGTGGTTAACTATTTCCCTCCCTTTTCTTTTAGCCAGATGTCAACTGCAGTGAATGTTATGCACATTTCGTGGTTTTATTTATTTAATTAAAGTGCTTTTTTACAATCAACAGATTCCAGAGCAGTGAACAAAAAGCACTGTTATATTTATCACAAACAGTAAAATATGCAATAAAAACACAAGACTGAAGCTGCAGCTAAAAACTTATAGAAGTCTAGGGCATCACACAAGTAAAAATAAATGGGAAAAACTGAAGTGTCTTCACCTGGCACTGAAAAAGTTGTAATGTCTGTCTGTGCCAGGCCCAATTCTTAAAGGGAGGGGATTGCATAACCAAGGTGCCTGCCGTCTCCTTTATTGTTATTTCCAGCACTTCCAATTAAATAGGCAGTCAGGGCAGAGCTTCAGCAGCAGATCTCAAAACAGAGGTAGGCTAGTAAAGGAAGGGGTGCTCCTTCCAGTATTTGGGTATCAGCACCTTAAATTGGGTCTTGAGATAAACAGGCAACCGTTGTAGTTCTTGATTAGTATAATATGACTAGTGTAGTATGGATATCCCAGTTAAAATTCTGGCAGCCATTTTCTACATTAGCTGAAACTTCTATGTTGCCTTCAAGGGCAGCCCCACATAGAACACATCACAGTAGTCCAACTGGGAGGTTACAAGAGCATGAATCACCATGGCCAAGAATACCTTGTGCAGCAATGGTCACAACTGGCAAACCAGCCAACGCTAATGCCTCAAAGAACCCTTGGGCTTCTAATGACAAAGCTGGAGCTAGGAGCATTCCTAAGCGGCAAACCTGCTCTTTTACAGGGAGTGCAACTGTGCACAGAACAGGTTAAATACTAATTACAGGAATCCAGGAACCATCTACCCACAGTGCCTGTGCCTTGCCAAGATCCAGCTTCAGTTCACTGCCACTCATCCAGGCCAGGCACCAATTCAGCATCTGCACAGTTTCATCTGACTAAAATAGCAGAGAGAATCAAGAGCTGGTGTCAGGAGTGGGTGCCAGGAGCAGGCCAGCAATAACTCACACGGCGTCAGTGAAATTAACTCTTTAGTCAAAGAAACAAGACAGCTCAGGAGGCCAGGCCTAGAGAGCACAGCAATTCTTCTTGGTAGATCTTGCCCCTATGAGGCAGTTGTGGGGACTGAAGGTCCTCGCCTTCCCAGTTCCCACAATTCCCTAAGGCTACTCCATTACTGGTTCCTTCCTAAGCAACGAAAGGCTCCGTCATCTTGCCTGTTTTTGCTCTGCCCTCTTCATACCTCTTTGGGTTCTTGGAGACCAGGGCAGAGGGAGCTGGTTGCAGCAGGAGGGGGAGGCCCGCTGGCTTCTTCAGCAGCCTGCCTCATCTCTGCCTGTTGGCTCCACTTCTCTCCAGCCTCCGGTTCTGGACTGCACTCTGCCACAGACTCTTCTTGCTCATTAAACCCTGCTATGTCTTCAGCTCCTGACATCTCCTTCTCCCAGTCTTCTCCCTCTGACTGTCCCATCACCAATCCCCTGGCTCTGAGCCTTCTTCCTTTGGGGGCTCCCCAGCTGGTGCCTCCCACCACTCCTCTGCCTCTAGCCAGTCTATGACAGCTGAGTATCATCAGCACTGAGATAACACTTCACTCCAATTCATTGAATGATCCCACCCCTCAGTGGCTTTATATGCCATGGTGTCAAGTAGAGCCCCATCAATGCCAACTTCTGGAACCAATACTACAGGTAAGAGTGGGACCATGTAACTGTGCCCTGTACACCCATCCAACTGAGATGGTCCACTAGGCTAAACATAGTCAATGGTATTAAACACTGCTAAGAAATAAAAGAAAACTGAATTGTGTACACACGTCCCACATCTCCTGGCAGGGATCAAACCTGTTTCAGTGTCAAAATCAGGCTTGAACCTGAAATGAAATGAGTCAGAGCCAAAGCTCTCAGATAAAAAAAAAGAAGAGAGAAAGGAAGAGGCATTTAAGTATAAATGTATGTATGTCTATGACTATAGATACATAGATAATAATAATAATAATAATAATAATAATAATAATTTTTTATTTATACCCCGCCCTCCCCAGCCAAGGCCGGGCTCAGAGCGGCTTACAAGCAATAATAAAAACAAGATGAATGATTACAACTTAAAAACAAAAATAAAATACAACATTAAAATAATGGAACATTAAAATATTAAAATGTAGCCTCATCGCAGGAGGAGAAGGAAAAGAAAAAAGAGAGGGAGGGAGGGAATCAAATTGGCTCCAAGCCAAAGGCCAGGTGGAACAACTCTGTTTTACAGGCCCTGCGGAAAGAAATCAGATCCTGCAGGGCCCTGGTCTCATGAGGCAGAGCGTTCCACCAGGCCGGAACCAGAGTTGAAAAGGCCCTGGCTCTGGTTGAAGCCAATCTAACTTCCTTAGGGCCTGGGACCACTCGGGTGTTGTTATTTATGGACCTTGAGGCTCTCCGTGGGGCATACCAGGAGAGGCGGTCCCGTAGGTACGAGGGTCCTAGGCCATGAAGGGCTTTAAAGGTCAAAAGCAGCACCTTAAATCTGACCCTGTACTCCACTGGAAGCCAGTGCAGCTTGAAAAGCACTGGGTGAATATGCTCCCATGGCACAGACCCCGTGAGGAGCCTCGCTGCAGCATTCTGTACCCGCTGGAGTTTCTGGGACAGCTTCAAGGGCAGCCCCGCGTAGAGCGAATTACAGTAGTCAAGCCTGGAGATGACCATCGCATGGATATAGTGTAAACAACTATTCTTCAAGTATTCAAATATTAAATATTAACTGTAATGTTAAAATAATACTATTTTAATAAAAGGCAGGTCATGGATGCAACTGTCCTCTTCCTTCCAACTGGAAATATCCTGTTACAAGATAGGGCAAGGCAGATCTCCTGTTATGGTCTCAGTTAACTGAGGGAAGCATTTGGATATATGAAAAGAGTGGTTATTGTCAGCAGTTCTTCACAAGGGCAGGGTGAACCCCACCCTCCTTTGCAGAATGGAACTGGGAAGAGGTATAGCTTTCACCTGCTACTTTCATTTACTTCAGTCAGAGAAAGCTGAACCATGGTCAGTGTTTGCCTCCATGCAAAAGGAGCTGCAAATAAAGAAACGTTTCCCTCTGCCAAGAGACGCTGACCAGGCATCCCCTACAGGACACAGCAAAGGGAGAAGAGGGCGTGAATGGCAAGAGAATTTATCACTGAGTCCCAGGGAAAGAAAGTAGAACTGATTTACTGTGAAGGTGCTGCCAATGTCAATAGAATATGTATGACTTTGGTGGGGGTATGGGAGCCCAGGTATTTTTTCATCCTGGCTATCAGAGCTTAGGGCTTCAAGCTACTCAGTGCTGAATACATTTTTCAGGCTCTACTGACAAGGCGCTGATCAATTTATCTGGATATGACATGAAGGCCGTGTGAAGAAAATACATTGTGACTCAGGCAGCTCTGCTGATTTGCAAGAAAGTAATTGATGTGATCCTACAGGAACAAAAATGCCGCATTAGTGACAGTGCTAATGTATTAACCTAGCAACTAGGAAAACAGGATCCCAAATAAGAGAGAGGAAAAATAATGCTGTTTACAGGACACACGTCTTGCTGCCCCTGGCTT